ACTAGCCCCTCAAGTAAAAACTGCTTGTTCTAAATTATGAAATATACGTTTGCAACCTGTCCCGATTTGAACTATCTTTGTTCTTCTTTAACTTGCTATTTACACTTTCGATTTTTGTCAACTATTGATTTGTGGTTCCCTTCGTTTTGCAGACACTTTATGAACAAAAATGAAAAGTTTAATAGCTTATCATGTCACAACATTCTTAAAGAAGCTTGAAGAATGGCCTTCGTGGCTTCTCTCCATTTGAAGACCAGAGGTCTACTGCTTGTGATGGATCAAAGTGAGTCACAGGAAGACCCTCTGCACATATGTGGATCAGATCCCTGTTGTCTCCGTCTCCAGGCAGGAACATTTTGCACTTTTGATGTGGTTTTAAGTGGCAGAGATGGGAAGCACAAGAAGAATTTCCACGAGATGCAGGACATCATGATAGTCAGACTTTTAGGGTTCTTTGGTGAGCATTGTCGACCGCAACCTGCTGTAAGACATATCCTGAAACTGTCTTCACCAGCATCTTAAGAGATATCCACTGCGCGCCTTGGCAAAGAAGCTATATTGCACCTGCCTTTCTTCAAAACAGGCTCAAACCATGTAACTAACCTTCCAGTTTCTTCAGAACCAAAATCGGCTAAGCTATTGCTATCATGAGGCCATGCATTGGTACTGAAAACAACCATATCTTGAATGATGGTTCTTGTAGTGGAATTTTCTTTGTTGGAGCTCTCTAGTGACATGACGTCAAGAAAATTTCTGAATCTCTCCTTAAGTCCTTGTTAGCCTAATGCCACTGCTTCGTCTATCTTGGTCTGCAAGTTCATTGGCTTCTTTCTTTGACTAGGAGGACACCTTGTGACCATTAACCCTTGGAAGAGAACTTTGTGGTCACTTCTTTTGGTGATTTTTTCAAAGGATTCTAGCCAACCACCAGAGGCTGCACATTCTGCCAACAAAGATACCCTAGGGTATGTTTATCATAGCAGAGAAACTGCGGAAGGCAAAATGAGATCCTTCTGCTGAAATTTTACGCTAATTGTTTCCAAGATAGAAAAAAAACCAGCCAAGAAGTGTCAGAAGGCCAGAAAGTCAATCTCTTTCATCGCTGCAGCTATATACCTCACCCGCCCTTTTATTTCTGCATTTTGGGAAGTTGATGCTAGATGCTCCATATGCTTTAAGACTACAGCGTCTTGGCCAGGATCTTTTTTAGGATCTCCTTTTGGTGGTTTAATGAGACATTTCAAGGCATGGCCAACATGGGGAAGCCACCTTGTGCCTTTGACCTAGCCAGGTTTCAACACACCAATGCCCATGGTGTCGGCAAGAGCTTTAAGTTCTCTGGTGCTCCTCGGACTAATGTGGCATGTCTTCCATATGCGGTTTAAGGTGATGAACACCTTTTTACTGTGGCATAGGATCTCTGAAGCTCTAACATGGCTAATTCCAAATGGTCAGGTGGGCAGCGGATGTCAATCGGCCAAGGGGTGTCTTCTTTTAATTTGGCTGATACACCTGCTTTTTTACCCATGTTTACTGAGGTGCCATCTGTGCCAAATCCAATCAACTTGCTTTCACAGTTTGAGATGCCCAGCATTTCTAAGGAATTTTTAATTGTTGCAATAACTTCCAAAGTGGAGAAAGATACGAGGTGATAATGTGAGCTTATCTTGGGGTACTCGACTGCCTTCCTTCCACATACTTGCTGCTTTTTAGTCATGAGCATCCTAATCGAAATAAGACTCAATGCACATAAAGTTATAATTTCAACTCGACTTGTCTGATACACTGTAAAGTGTAGATTACCTTAAGTATAATTGTGCAATTCTATAACTTGCAAATATAAGGTAGAAAACTGTGGGAAAATTTTTACGTTTCCCAGAGCTTTTCAAATGTTGTGTTTCAAAAACTGATAAATGGGATTTCCATTAAGTCTCACTTATCCTTTACTCTGTCATTTTATTTCAAATACAAATACCAAAACATAGGCTTCACAAATACTGACCTCCGGCATGTGCATGCTAGATTGATTTATGGCCCACAAGATGATTTACCAGCTGACCATACTCCACTAATCTACATTGGATTGTCTCATTCACGCCTCCTGCATCCTCCCCACCATCAATCAAAATACACATGTACTTAAAATTTTTGTTGACAGTCTTAGCTAACTTGTTTTGGTAAACCTTACTGATGGTAGAAACTATTTCTGTGTACTTCCTATCAGTTGAATACATCTCCCCTATTTGAAAGCCATTCTTTCTTTGCAGATTTAGAAGTTTGGGGAGTTTTTTACAGGGAAGTTCTTCCTTCCGTTTGGCCATAAATGAATCACAAGACCTGATGTGTGTGAAGCTTTTGCTGTGTCTTTTCATAGTTTCTTGTTTGAAAAATTTGCAGTGCGATTTTTGGTAAGACCTTATACGACCCCTCACCAAATAACTCTGAACTTTATTTATTATGGTAGGGAAACTGAGCGAATCAGGTTCCATTTAAGTCATTATACTAGGTAAACTGACCTGAAAGTTGATTAACTCAGTTTCCTAACCCTAATCTTAGGAGATCTTAGGGGTCTTTGTTTTCAAGACACCCCCGATTTTCCTGTGGTGGTTGGACCAAATTGCTGGCAATACTATCACAGGATTACACCTTTCTTGTCATCATACACAATCCAGGGGAAGTCACCTTTCCAGTGAGGAAGAAACTTTCGGCTTGTCTTTTTGGCTGTAGTTGGTGTTTCACTTTCCACCTTTTTTCTTTTTAATCCTGAACTTTCAACATTGTCTACCTTGGCAGGTTTAACGAAAGATGATATGCTCCACTCAGCAGAAGGCCTCTTAGCAAGTAGTTTGTTCTTATTTGTTTCTTTCTTTGTTGCTACATCATCTGTTACAACAACAACAACAACAACAACAACAACAACAGGTACAAAATGGTTTGGCTGAAAAAGGCGTGAGGTCATGAGTCCAGGCTACCCTCTCTTGACCACATTATCTGTCTTTGCTTCAAGGCCCTGTTGTGTCCTTCTGCTCTTCATGGGGTAATTGGCCAATGAAGGATTGGTAGGATTTGCTTCCGGATACACAGAAAATATTGGCCATAATTCAAAAGTTTCATTTGTTCGGTCATTGTGTGCCAAAATTGTAATCGTTGGCAACAGTAAATGAGTTAAAAATCATCATTTTTGTGCTCAATTATCTCACTGTTATATCCATACTAAAAAAATTATTCACCTCAGTGTCAGTGGCTAGTGGTGGGTATTTTCCTTGCCGCTTCGCAGCTTGGTTAATAATCACCACTAGCCACCTCCACTTCGGTGAATAAATGTTATTTGTTTTATTCCTAGACTTTCACTCTACTAAACAGGGACAGCCATTGGCTGATTCTTGGTCATTTATATTTTGGAAGTTTCTTGGAGGTTTTTCGTTTTAAAAGCTTCAAAATTGACACGAGAAAGTATCAAAAGACATGTCTTTGTCAGGAGAACCCGACACGGCGGAATTATCCAGTGCAACAACCCAGCGAGCAAACGATAGCGGACCGACCGAGGTCAACATGCTTCCGGATACACAGAAAATATTGGCCGTAAATTTCAAAAGTTTCATTTGTTTGGCTCATATAATAGGCTTACTTGTGTCAAGCCTTCCTGGGTCATTGTGTGCCAAAATTGTAATTGTTGGCAACAGTAAATGAGTTAAAAATCATCATTTTTGTGCTCAATTATCTCACTGTTATAATATATTTATACTAAAAAAATTATTCACCTCAGTGTCAGTGGCTAGTGGTGGGTATTTTCCTTGCCGCAAAGTATACATATGCTAGACACTGGCATCTTATGAGTTTTCATTACCAGGTAAAAATCACCACAATCTCTCCGAGGAGCTGAAACAAAACTTTTCATAAGTTTTGTTAAACCTCACAAACGGGTCTCACCACCTCCACTTCTAAGGCGGTGAATAATTGTTATTTGTTTTATTCCTAGGCTTTCACTCTACTAAACAGGGACAGCCATTGGCTGATTCTTGGTCACGTGTCCTTGACTAAAATCAAATGTATCCCGATCGTGATACAGTAAGCAATGTACCCCACTCGGGATACATTACAGCACGTGATCAAAGGATGGTGGAAAGTGGCGTGACAGAAGGCCGGAAAAACACTGCCAGTTTTCTTTTTCGTGAAAGAACACAACAACACAAACATGGAGCTTCAAGCTAAAAAGCAACAAATGGAAGTTCTATGTTGATCTTTTTGATGAAGTAAAAGACTGTAAGTCATAATGGAAGTTGGTCAAAAAAGCTTCTTACAGCTCAGCGTTGAAGCCCATACTCAGTTTCAGGGCATCAGATGGGACAATTGAAACATCTCATTACAAGAAAGAGCAGATCCTTAACGCATACTTTTCTACTGTTGGTGTCAAGTTAGCAAATGATCTTCCCGTCTGTAGCCAGGCGAGTAGTAATATTCACTTTAACTGAGTTTCTCCCTGCAAAATGAACATTTTCATATCGCATGCTAATGTTGTTGAGAGCATGAAAAGGATGAAAGCAAACAAAGCCTGTGGACCAGATAACGTTTCTCTAAGGCTACTCAAATATGCAGGGAAGGAACTGATCCCATCATTTTCATCTCTATACACCAAGAGTGCTGTACGCAATTCAGTCCCTGCTTTGTGGAAAACCGCTAATGTCTCGGCCCTGTTCAAGAAGGATGATGAAACAGATAAACGGAACTATCGACAAATTTCCCCACTGTGTCTCAGGAAAACTGATTGAAGAGACTTTTGACACCACAATAACAACTCACATTTCAGAACATAATCTTGGCCATTCTCACCAGTGGGCCTATAAAAAGGGCCACTCAACCGAATTGTTGGTAAAAATGATCGAAGACTGAAGACGTGCACTGGATTAAAACGTAGTGGTTGGTATCATCTTTGTTGACTTCTGCAAGGCCTTCGATTCTATTTTTCATCATGTCCTGCTGAATAAGTTGCAAGCAGTCGGTGTTGCTGGTGATCTATGGTGCTGGATTAAAGATTACTTAGCTAACCACTATCAAGCTACAGTCGTAAATGGTTTTCAGTTCGAAACTATACCTGTGAAGTTTGGCGTGCTATAGGGATCTGTTTGGGACCTACCCTGTTTTCGTTGTTTTGCAATGATCTGCCTGATATAGCTGAGGATTGTGATGGCAGAATTCAAATGTATGCTGACAGCACTAAGATTTATGTGGTTGCGTCTTCTCCTGATATGGTTGCTGTTGTCTTGAATGTCATCCTTCAGAAGTTGTATGACTGGTGCTGCCTTACCGGCCTCATACCCCACCCGGGTAAAATCCAAGTACATGATTTTAACACAAGGCCAGTATGTTGGGCCGCTGCAAGCGGTGTCATTGAGTAACAGTGTCGTCACTCAAGTCAAGTCAACTAGGTGTTTAGGCACTGAAACTGACAGTGATCTTAACTGGAACGTTCATGTAAAAGAGTTAATTAAGTCCGTTGCACAAAAATGAATCTTCTTAGGTCTTTGTATTTGGATTTTTATTTCAAAGTAATATTAACATCAGTTACCAATGGGTTGGTTGTATGGGGTTCCTGCAGCAAATCGCTCTTTGATGAGCGGGAGAAGTTACATGTACGCGCCGCAAAGATCATTTTATGGCCTGGATTGGTACACACCCAGCGATCAGGTCTCAGCCCAAATCAAGTGTTCCACTGTTAAAGGTTTATACAAATATAGATTACTTATGTTAGCACACGATTCTTTTTATAACTTTCTATCCGTTCTTGTTATGAAGCTGTTTACGAAATATGAGTGCAACTATAACTTGCAACTATAACTTGACTTTTTCGTTACCATGCAAAACCAAACACTGAAGTTTTCGCAAGTCCACTTGTTACAAATCCATATCCCTATGGAATTCTCTTGACAATCATATGCGTGCAATCTCAAGCAACAGCTTATTTAGAAACTCTTTTAAACACAGAACTTCACATAAATAGGATAATTTTGTTTCAAATAGGTTAGATCTGTTTCTAAATTTTAATTAGTTTTTAAGCATTAAGCATCATTTGCGTTTATCTTTTAAATACATGACCACATCAGCTCCGCTGTAATTTTTGTCGTTATAAAGATAAAATAAATAAAATGAATAATTAAATAAATGTTGTTGTTGTTGTTAAAGAAAGGACAACTACACACATTTGCCATTTATTTGGGGGACACCACTTGGCAATTGGTATAACTACTCCTTTCCCAGGGTTGTCACCGAGATTTCAATTTGCTGGGTAAATACAACAAGTAGGCAGGGAATCAAACAGCTAGAGATTTTTTTTTGGTTCTATTTTTTGTCTATGTTACTATGAAAACTGACTGAGAACTGATCGTGCTTTTGGAAAACATAGTTTGTTTGCCTATCACACCATGTAGCAACATGAAAAAAAAAACCCTTGCCTTCCTTTTATGTAAACAATTAATAAAAGGCACCACACAAAGTAATATCTGCACTTATTGTGATACGAGAGATTCACAGTAGGGCTGTATTAGATATTCTCAATTAAACCATCATTTTATACAGCCTTAGAAACTTAAGAGGCATCAAAATAGGGCACCCTAAATACAGTATGGGACTTTTTACATGTTAATTAACTATTGTATTTTCTTTTCAGTGGGCCTCTCTTGGTTGCCTCAAATTTCAATTCAATTTAAAGCTTATTATTTTATCACATTAACATACTAGTTAAAACTTTCAAATTAATTACGGGATGCAGTGGCCCTAACAAATTAGAAATTTACCATGAGAATTACCTTGAGATGATAGAGTATAGGTAAAATAAAAGCTGCAGTCTTTCCAGATCCAGTGGGAGCACAGCATAGCACTTCTCTTTTCTAACAAAGTAAAAGAAATAGTATAAATCATAATGAATTAAAAAATATGATATATTTAATAAATGGCAGTATTTTTCTACACAGCAAGCAGCAAAATAATAGAAGAGACCACAAAGAGGTGGGGAGGAAGCAGACAGCCTCAGCCCTCCCATTTTTTCTGTGGAAATTATCAATAATTTATAGAGGTTCGTTTAAGTCGTTTCAAGAGATTAAGAAACCAATTCACAACAATAAACTGGGACTGCCATTGGTTGATTCTTTGTCATGTGGCCTTGACTAAAATCAACAGCATGTGACCAACGCATGGTGGAAAGTGACATGACAGAAGGTGGGAGAAACACTGCCAGTTTTCACTTTCAGGAATGAAATCAACAACACAAACATGGAGCCTCAAGCATGTGCTAATATACAATTTATTGTGAAAGTACTAGTGAGAAGCTGACTAAAAAACTAGCTCATTAGTACTTTCACAATTGTATATTAGCACATGCTTTCTAAACTTGAAAATGACTGTCGGAGGGTCCAAACGTTGTTCTATGTCAACATTAGTTTTTATAGTGAAATCCATATCGAAAAATTGGTTGATTTGAAAAATTTGTAACTGAACAGAAGTAGTTATCACTAATGTTTTTAATCCCTAACACAACCATCACATTTGGTTCTCATTTTTTCTGACTTTCAGTAAATGTATTTACGGTAACAAGCCATTATACACCAATTTTGTAAGCTTGCACTTACATGCATCATAACAGGAATTGCCTGCATCTGAACAGCTGTTGGATGGTGATAACCTCGTTCTGATACATTTTTTATCAGGTAAGAAGGAAGATTATACCTAAAACACCAAGTACCGGTTAACCAAACAATATTCATTAAACAATAACAAAAAACATACTTCTATAGTACACACATTACTATTACACATCATATAAAAAGAACAAGATAATTACGACATAATAATTATAAAAGTAGATTGTAATTATCAAACAAAATCTCCCAGAATCTTTTGATGCAATGTTTTAAAAAGCTTTATAACTTTGACAATGTTATACGTAGAAGACTGTCAGACCACAACAAGACAACATTTGCCATAAAATATCTTCCCATGTCACATCAAGGGTAATGATGTCATCAATCACGTGTATTTCGAATTAGGTTTTTTTGTTGCTGTGACAAGATCTCATTAACAAGTTAAAAACAAATAGCATATTTGAGGTTTTAGTTGTGTGGGACAATTAAAAATAACCAGTTGACGTATGGCATTTTAAATTTAAGGGGGTAATGAACATGAGCAAAAAAGTCGGGAGACAAGGCCGAGGGTTGTAGAGAGTCAACCTTTTATCACATGGCAGAGAAAATTTGCGGAAAAGTAATGTTCTACTTGATAATTATTTTTCATGACCAAAAGAGGGACATGATATTGTCAGTCACGTGATCAAAGCGTTTTGTATGTTTTAGTTCGTTTTTAAAGCACCTTTTTTGTCATAAATTGGCAAGTTTTTGCTGTTTTTCTCAACAATTCTTTACACTGTATTGTCTCTGAGTAATTATTATTCCATTTTTAAAACAGAACCAAACGAAAACTGAGCCAGAAGTTTAAAAGTTGCATAAATTGACCAATATTGCAACTTAAAATCAAACAGGAGACCTACTCTTGAGACTTTTATATTTTTCCTTTTTCAACTTAACTGTTTGTTTGGCGAAATAAATGTTCAACACTTGTTAGGAAAGGAGAACTTTAAAAACTAAAAGGATGTATGTGGCGGCCATATTGTTTTTCTTCATTCCGGGAAGAGAGATCATGTACCAGCTCTCCTAACCCTAAGAGCTGAATGGTTTGCTACCCTAACCTAAATGATGGAAATAATGAGGAACAATGTTGTGTTAATGTTTTCCCTGACCAATGAAAAGACACCTTACGAGCAGGGAAAGAATAGTGCGGTCATCCGGTTCAGTCGGCATAGCCGAACAATCAATAGTTCATAACTTTCTTAGAGGTTCCCTGGCATGGCCCAAGCCTGAAAGAGTATAATTAATGGGTTTATTGTCAGCTGCACGTCTAGCTTTGATCAGTTAAAGATTAAAAAAAGAAACCAAAAAGTCAATCACTATAGAGAAGGAATATATACCTCTTTTAAACTCGAATTGTCAGTGTTTACCGAGGTGGTCCAGTGGATAGAGGCGTTAACTTTTAGTTCTAGCTGAGGATCCGGCTTCAAATCCCTTGAAGCAAATTTTTCGTGACCTTTTGTTTTTTCTTTGTTTACAATCTCTTTTTTAATCTCTTTTTTACCTGTGTGGTGCATATAGCTAGTAGCATAATGTGGTAAATTGAACGCAAAGTTTACAGGAATATAAAAAGTGCGGTATGTATCATAGCATATCTACCAGTATTTTTGGTAATACTGGACACTATTATCATTACCCAGCTCAATCGTAAATTTTCACATGTGCCTAATTTAATAGACCTTTTTACCGATATGGCGGCCATATTGAATTAATTCGATTTAACCCTTTAAGCCCAATATTCACCTACAATTTCTCCAAACTGATCCTTATACATTTCCTTTAAGAATGTGTGGAGAGAATTGGAAAAAAGATCAAAACATTTTTTCTTTAGTGATCATTTTATGAATTCTCATAACCTTATCTCTTGACAAGGTATGGATATCATTGGGAGAAAATATATGTTGGTCACCATTGGGACTTAAAGGGTTAAGGAGTTTTATAGGATGCCCAGGGGGTATGAGTACATTTCGTTTGTATTTTCGAGCGCTTTTCCGGACATTTTTTCTCAAAGTTTTCTTAAAATAAGATTTTAATGGGAAAAAAGATCCCTGTACTGTGTTTGGATGTAATAATGATTGCCTTTTTCCCAAGAAATATACAGTGAAAGACCATATTTCCAATACTAAACTAGAAAAAGACGATCATTATTACATCCAAACACGGCACATTTGGATCTTCTCTTTCATTACAATCTTATCCTAAAAAAACTTTAAGAAAAAATGTCCCGAAAAGCGCTCAAAAATACGAACGAAATGTGCTCATGCCCCCTGGGAATCCTATAATACTCCTTAACCCATTCGCCCCTGAACCGCCCGTAACCGCCCGTGCGGATCCAGGTCCTTTCTACCCTTTGTCACGTCATCAGTTTTAACATTCAAGGACAACTTTCTTCGGTAACTTGTGTAGAGTGAAGAGATCTTTCAAACCATACCAGAATGAGCACAATTCAGTCAAGGACACCGGAGAAAGAAGCAAAAAACCACGTGACATTGACCTGAAAATCTCCATGAAAATCTTGTTCCATTGCTCACCTACCTTTGCTTTCACCTAATCCTAAGATCCTAAAAGCTTTCCTAAAAACTCTTCCCACCAAAATGAAGCCTACTAAATGCCCAGCAAGAGAAAAAAAAAATGAGGCAAGAAAAGCGAAAAAAGAAGGGAGGAGAGAAAGCGAAAAGTAAAAGTCAAGACTGCTGGGTCACTTTTAAACCCAAAACCTATCTCAAAATTTTCCTTTCTGCGCATGCCCGAACTTCGCAAGCTGATATTTTGCATCTGGATCAGAAGACCGCGAAGTGTACGACGTGTAAACCGGTTTGTGGTAAGTTTTAGCTCTTTATAGCACGACAGTGACCAGAAAACCACTCGACTAGCTTCAAAACGCATTTTTCAGCAAAATCTCCAGGAGCGAATGGGTTAAATCGAATTAATTCAGTATGTATCGGTAAAAAGGTCTATTCAAGAGGAAACTGCTCTGAGATGGGACTTCTGAATCAACTAAATTTGACAGTTTCAAATTAAATAGGACTTCGTCGAATCTGCGACTGAAACAGTCGAAAATTCGACTTAGGTTCAACATTTGATTTAGAAGTCGCATTCCACAATGTGCCGAATATAATGCATTAGTTATAGAAACCCTTCCAGGTTATCCATATTGGATAAAAAATTTCTCTAGAAACTGAGAATTTTTACAACAAACGGAGTTAAATTCGGCACCATCATATCCAACATCTGAATCACCTGCCGTATTTAATTACTTTAATCAACTAAAATAGGTGTTCAACACTCACAAGAAATTCTCCATTTGAAAGGGGCCTTTTGTAACATAAGTTAAGTCAGTTTAGTGGTTTGCAGGCTGTTATTATTATCATTGAAACCAATGACTAAAACAAGTAAACTTTATGATATAGCAATAATGATATCATGGTGGGTGCCTTTGCTAAATTATCAATTCCTTGTTTTTTGCCATTATTTTGATGAAAATCACATGAAAGACATGTAAATGAAAAAAAGAAATTGTATTTTTATTAAAACCAATGACAAAAACAAGTCAACTAAATGATATAGAGGGAAAATCCAAGGAAGATGTATTCAGATGCATACTCAGTCCTAAATGGCCTTTCAAGATGGCGGCTTGAAGAGGTATTTACATGGACTGTAAGTAAATTTTAAGAGAAAGACAGGATGTTGTAGATTGTGGCACAAAACGAGTTCCAGGGGCTGACACTAGTGAGACCTCAAAGTGTGTGATATATAAAGAAGGTGATGGGAGCCACCTATACAGTTCTGTACGTTGAAAACCAACAGAAACCTAAGACGTAGCGATTTACAAGACTATGGTATGAATATCTGGTGGAGGTGTGATTGCTATAGTGGCAAGGTAGTATCATATGCGCTATTTAACTGACCTGTGGAAAAGGCATACATGTCAGAGGAATGTAAGAAGAAAAGTGAAGCAGCTTCGGAGGCCAAGGAAGATGAAGAATTAAATGAATCAAGAGCATTTGTTGAACTCACTGAATACATAGCTAATGCAGTGGACAATGATCACATTTCTTTATACTTGCCGAACTTTCGTTAGATATCACACACTTTGGGGTCTCACTAACATCAGCCTTCCAAGCTCCTCTGGTGCCACAATCTACAACTTGCTGTTTCTGGGGATCTGCTTCAGCATGCTTGTTTCTCTTTTCTTTTCCTTTTTTCTAACTTGGACTTAAAAAACGTAAGGTAAATTTCTTCAGTCACAAGTAACATGGCCATTGGTGAGAAAAAATGGCCTTGTGAATTGACTTTAGCAGCTGCCATTCAGTATGTTCTTTAACCCGTTAAGCTGTATGATATCCTCTATTTCAACCAGTTTGCCTACAACAAAGCACGCACATGCTGTTTGAATTCTTTGAAGGTGTTTAACAATGTGACAAGGTAGATTATGATAGACAACACAATTATAATACAACTTGGAGAGTACTAGGGCCTGAACTAACTGCTTGTGAATATTGAATGGCAGAAAATTCCTCAACTTCTTTAGGACTGCTAGAGTGTGATAGCAAGAGGCTGACACTTGCTTAACATTTCCTTCCCATTTAAGGTGGTGATCAATGTGGGTCCCTAACAGTTTTGTTGTGCATTCGCTCCAGTTCATTGCTTTCAATATGTCATCACGTATGCTTAATAAAACAGATGTAGCAGAATGACTTTTCCTAAATCCAGAGATGTTATCCTCAAGAAGATGGTGGTTTTCCAAAAACTCAACAACTTGGTTGTGAACAAGCCTTTTGTAGATTTTAGACAAAACAGGCAACATAGGGATTGGACAAAAATCATTATCCTGAGGGCTATCCACCTTTGGGATTGCAGTTATTCGGGCTCATTTCCATTTATCTGGAAAGGTCACATAATTTAATTAATTAATTAATTAATTATGTCAGTTAAAGCGCTCGCAAAATATTCAGCAACAGGCTTTAAAAATTAAGCTGGAATTAGGTCAGAGCCTGTTGATATGTCAGATTGTAGGAGCTTCAGCTTATGCAAAACCTCATGGAATGTAACAGGCCTTAAAGTAAAGGTGTCATTTCCTGTCAGACACTCTTCCGGTTGTAGTGCTTCTATAAAGTCTATCAGTTCTTCTTTAGAATCCGATGTTTCAACACCAGTATAGTCCTCGTAGCTGTACTTGCAAAATCTTCATTCAGGGCATCTACATTACACCCCAGAGGTGTGGGATTTGGGTGAAGTGTTTGGTAGATAACCTGCCATACCTCTTTGGGCTTTTTGGATGAAAGAGCTTTATTCATGAAATTCTGACGAGCTTCCCGTATTTTCTTCTTTAGGAGGTTTGGCACATCACAGCACTTTTGCCAATGTCTTGTGCTTTAGTTGCTGTGCTTAATTAACCGTTTATCCCTCGGTAGCTGGGTCTGGCTATTTCATCGTCTTGTAACTATGGAGCTGGAGGATGAGTTACTAAAAACATCTAGTTTTTGGTTCGGATCCTCCAGGGCATAAACAATACTTACTGGGAGATTAGAACAGTCTTCCACATAAGACTTCTCATAGTACTGACACTCATTACAAATGTACTTAAACCTTGGAGCAAAGTGAGTAACACGTACATCTATGAAAGCATGGGCTGCATTGTGGTCGGTTGAGCAAGGCAGTACATTGGTAAATTTTGCTCATTGCGCGCAATTGGAAAAACGTTAAAATCTAATAAATTATAAATATCAATTAGCCTAAAATGCATAAAAACTGTTTGATTGAAATGAATGTCTGAAGGAAGACTGTTTCACAGTCAAGAGACGCACATAACTGAAGACGACAGGTAGTAAAAATTTAACGAAGTGTCCTCAACCTCCATTTCTCAGTTTGTCTGGCCACAGGAATCAGATCCATTACCTCCCACTCTGCAACCAAGCACTCTGTTGATTGTTTATGAGCTAATCCTGCCACAGTATTGAATTAAATACCAGCAACCTTTGCATTGCTACCAAATCTGAAACACTTTTTTCGAAAAAATGCAGAAAATAACCCCGTAACGCAAAGAGCTCGATCTCGATGATCTTACAGAAAACTAGAGGACTGTGAACAGTTTCTGCCTGTGTATGAGCTTGAATTAATACTATACTGCATTTTTTACAGACATTTATAAGAATGATACACCATCACAAAATTTAACACTCAAGTTACTCGACTCCCACCACCCCACCTATGCAAACAAAAAAGCAGTAAAAGAAGTAACACATTTGCTGAAATCTAATTGACAAACATTTAATTTACCTGTCTTGCAAGGAAGAAAAACTTTCAGCCACATCAGGAATGTCTGATCCCTTCACATATATGTGGTATTTTTTCCTTGTGGCATTCATCTGAAAAAAATGAGCACCAAGTCAGTTCCCCGCTTATAACAACCACACTTACCCCGTAACTGTCTATCACTTATTGAAGATGGTTTAGGGCAAAGTTTAGAATGGGTGGATGGATGCTAGCTCTAATTGCCCCCCAGAAGGCAAAATCCTGAGAAAGCATGCTAGAAGCTTGCGCCTATATAAACGAAAGCACTTACAGTCAAAATATACTAAAATCTTGATTTGCTTGAACAGGGGCCATGAGGAATCGTTGGGTGATAATGACATTTTAGTCCTAAACAATTCCAAACGCCCGCAAGTAAGAAATGGTTAGGATGGTGTAAAACAAAAACTGCCCGAAAAGACCGCTTGGGTTGAATTTGTGACATTTATTGTACAATCATGCTTCCATACTCTTATTGAGTTATGTGTGTATTCAGCGACATTATGTGGAGCAGCTGTTTTAAAAGTATTAGAGCATAACTGAAAATAATTTCTTTGCCTCAATTTACTCTCCTACACTTTCCTACACAAATTACTTTGGGCCATTAATGTATGACTCAGTCCACAAGCAAGTTTCCTTAAGTGAATGAGTGAATCAAGCTACTTATAAGCAGAATGATGGAAGATTACTATACCCGCAAGTAGAGGCTGCATTTTCACAGTGTGAGTAAAGTGCATATAGTGGTCCTTTCTGCATGGCAGCTGATACAGTGAAAATGTAGACTCTACTCGAAAGGTATTGTAGACGCAATGATTACAGAAATTCACCGACGTAATAAATTATGGTGCTGATGTATAAATGACTACAACGCGGGTGTGAAAAAATTCTCGTATCAACCTGAATCAGTGCACAAAATCTTGCATTTCCTGCTTTTATCTTACCTATTGTATGTAGTATGTGTGAAAATCTTCATTATGATCAATCAGCATATTTCAAAGAGCTACACAACGACCAAGGATAGAATTGACCCACAACATACAGAGTGGGGGCAGCTTTAGTATCAACTATTACTAGTTATATCATTCTGATAATATACACATCTCAGGGTGGTGTGTTGACCATTCATCTCACATGATTGGGCCTTTGGCACGGCATGATCACTACAACACCTACATCTTTACTTGTTTCATCATTTGCTACACCTATTACAGTAATGGCAGCTTCAAAGAAGCATCTCAGTAAGGCACAAAATTACTGATGGGTCCAGAAACATAAAAAACAACATTGTTTGACCAGTGCAATAAGGCATGGTGTTGGGAAGTGCTAAGAAGTTAGGGAACAAATTTAAATACATTTCATGTACAACAATATAAATACATTTACAGTGTATTACATTTGGAGCCAGGGTAAGTTATTGCAAGTACATTTAGCGATAGAAGCTCATTACACAGGTGACAAGATGTATGCACACAAGTCCCGGAGCATGGTGGATCTTGGTACATGCGCATATCCCACACACTTCTGGCCAGCAAGGTGAAACAAGTGCTCCTTGTTGTTAACTCCATTAAATTGCATTTAACTGCATTGACTCATGACTCATTTGACTCATTAATACTTTACACTCATTAGAAGCCCAAGTCATAAAGCATACAGACAAGCACCTCGACGGTAGGTTAAGGGACCAAACTAGGTTCCCAGTTGGCAACAGAAATTAAAAAATATATATAACATATTTAACAATTAATGAATGAGGCTGAGTATCTTATGAAGAATTATGGAGATCGAGGAGAGTGTTATCTGTTGGGGACATAGGCTGAGGTGGATATCACCCTCCGAGATCTCCAAAATTCTTCATATGATATGAAAGCCGAATTTAATAATTGTTTTATTATTCATCAGGTTTGTCACTAAGATTTCAAGTTGCCGGGTAAATACAACAAGTAGGCAGGGAATCAAACAGCTAAGGATTTCTTTTGGTTCTTTTTTTCTTCTATTTTCCAATACAAGTAGCCAGGGGCCACTCTCTTAGTAGCCGGGGAAAATCCCCGGCCCCCGGCTCTTAATGGCAACCCTGATTCATTCAATATAATTCTTAGCTTAAAAACATAGCTAAAACACGCTTACCTCCATCGATGTTATGTTCATCTTTGATAGTGAATGTTTAGGGTTGTTCAGCTCTGCAAATATTCTCCAAATAGCAGATGTCGCCCTTCAAGTTGTCTTCTTGCTGTTCCTGCCATGTTTTTAGCTATAATTTCACCTAGTTCTTACTCTTGAAACAAGTGAAATGTTTGCCATTTTTGTTTTCACAACCAAAACAACTCAACCTCATCCCCAGGTCTTCTCAGTTAACAGTGAATTAACCAGCAAGGAAGCTGCACTTTTGACATCATCGGTTGATTATTAAATCGCAAAATTCTTCTAAATTTAGTCATCACTAGCTTGTTATGGTAGATAAGGCGTGTGCTTTTAGCCAATCAGAATTGGCAAAATATTTTGAATGAATAATAAACAAAGACAAGAGTACATGGAGTTTGCTAAAGATGGCATGGTAAATGCGATTATTTTAGTAGACAATGAAGTGAAAATAATGAAACAACTGCTGCAAGCGTCTTCTCAAAATCACCCAACCAAATGTATAGTGTACAACATTACGTATATCGATGCAATATGAGGATACGTACTACTCTGTCCATCAAGTTGTTAGTGATGATAAATACATCATTCATTGACAAGAATCACATAAATCATGTATAAAAGGCAGACTTGTATAGCAGGTCTCAAAAATAAAGTTACTGGAGAAACAAAAGCTTACTTTTTCCTTGTGAAGTTCTGCTATCCTCTGTACAGAGCACTTCTTCACAGCACCACTACTAAAATCATTCCATGTTGGTGCTGAAAAGATCTGGACCTTTGAATGCATTATGGGAATACTTCCAACATCAACTGCATAACAAAAAAACATATTGAAAATTAAAATAACTAGTAATAACCGCTGCCTTGTCCGCTGCTGTTTATAATATTATTATCTGAATTTCATTGTTTAAGTTAGGATAAAGGAATTATTCGTACAAGTAAGTAAGTCATTACAAACCAAAGCCCTGATGAAGCGGATGTCACGTTCTTTGAATATTTGTGAGAGGCAAGGCACTAAGTCTATTGTTTCAAACCAAGAATAATGTTACCTGCCTTTCATCTCTGGGACTTAATGCTGTTTATTCTGAGTTGATATCTAACATATATTAGTCATTATTTATGTGTGCTATAGAAACTAGCCTGAATTTCCGACGATTACTTCTAGTTGTTTTTTTAAATATCAATACTACACATTAAAAAGAGAATAGCTTGTTCTTATGACTTCAGACACGACAAACAACAATTATTATTAAAACTGAAGGATGCTAATAATCTTCAACATGCTTGACTTAAACCTGCCAACTTTTTCTGAGATATAAGCGTGAGATTTTTATCCTGAGCGTTCTGGGATTTTTGCAGATGACACGATCATTTCCGAAGATTCCCGAAGAAGTCCGAAG